GGATGACTCAGTGCAAGCCCAGAGAGGACGTCTGAGACAGGAGAGAATGGCCATGGCCTGCAGCAAAGCAGCTCTCAGATTGAGCTGTCCGTCTTGCTAAAATGAGCCTGAGTTAACACCTCTGCCAGTTCCCTAAGCCCCAGGACAGACAATAGTCGACTTCCTCTGCCTTTCTCCTTCTTCTTTCTCTGTCACTCCTACTCTTTCACACTCTCTTTCTATTATTCACCGTTTCTCTTCACCAATCTCCACTTTCGTTTAGAYATCCAGAAAGCTTTAAAACTTCCATCATGTGATTGTTGAGCTTCTTTGGATCATTGCTAAACAGTGGTGCTAAGAAAACCAATAGAAGTTATCACAAGTAAAAATAATAAATACATCACAAAAACACAGAGTTTTTAAGTTTTTAAGTGCTGTTTTCTTATATTAGTTGGATAGAAGTGGAAGAAGTACATATTTACTTGTTTTGTGGATTTAAATAAAAGACCACATGTATTAGAAGTCAAAATAATGACTTGATCGTAAATAATTTAGTGACAAAGTTGTTTAAAGAAAAAAGACAGACAAAATTAAGTAGTCCTTTTTTGATTACATAGAAACACATTTGCAATAAAGTAACCTATAAACTAACCAATTTAAGAACTCAGTTCAAATCGTTTTTGTTCAAAGATCAGCTAAGTTGTAAAATATAAGATYGTTGGTTAGATATTTTCATATTTACAACACAGGGATCCCAGATGACTTTATATCACTTCATAATACACACATCTGCTTTGGCAAGGGGTAAATTACACACATAATTTAACAAATACTCTAAGCTTCCAATGTGGTTGAAACTGTTGTGCTCTGATTTTTTTCTGATTTTTTTTACATTTTTCTTTCCCTCATCTGTCTATTTGTCCAAGACCAGATGCCATAGATGAGTAGAGAAGCTGATGGTGAAAGGGAAGAGAAATGGGGTTTAGGAGAATCCTCAGGGAGTCATTTGATGACTATCAGCATTCTGACTGTTATGACTATGGGTGATAAGAGTCTGGGAGAGGAGAGCCTCTGAAGGTTTACAGCCCCCAAACCAGACAGAATATTTAAAAAAATGTATGTAT